ACTTGGAAGTGGTCCCCTGCAACTATTGTTAAGAAACTCGGCGAAGTCAATTATCGTGTCAAGCTGGACAACTCATGCATCGTCAAAGCCCACGCTAATCAACTCAAGTTCCGACATGGAAGGAACGAGTTGAACGAGCTGCTCGAAATACCAGATTTCTCTCACATTCCAACTGGAAACGTCGAACCAGTAATCGTGCCTCAACAACAAACAACGGCTCAAGAAGACATCCCCAATCAATCGAACGTCGAGCTCGATGATTCCGATGTCTTCGAAGATGCATTGGACGAAGTGCAACAGCAACCGATCCAGCAGCCAATTCAGCCAAGACGATCTGAGCGTTCTACCAAGGGTGTGCCTCCAGATTACTTTCGATTTTAAAGGGGGAGGAATGTGGTAAACCCCCAATACATATACGATGTTCTCATGATAGATATATATATATATATATATTCTGGCGGGACTCGCGACCGGCAGGCGGCGCGGGGAGTCAGTGGAGCGGGAGCCAGGTAACGGGCGACCGGCTAGGAAAAGGGAATAAAGTTCATATTGTGTAACCTTGTCCTCTTTATTTACAACTGCGAGATTACAACGCCAGGAACCAGCGCCTTGTCCTTTATCCGGAAGTGCGAGATTACAACACGTTCGTTCTCCAGACAGACGCCAGCGATGTGGGACTCGGGGCAGTATTAACACAGGAAATTGACGGCCAAGAACGAGTCGTGGCATACGCCAGCCGCACAATCCGACCAGCAGAAAAGAACTACTCGGCCACCGAAAAAGAATGCCTAGCGGTAGTATGGGGGATAGAAAAAATGAGGCCGTACCTAGAAGGATACAATTCCGAGTCATAACGGACCACTTCTCTCTCCGCTGGTTACGATCTTTGGAAAATCCGACCGGTAGATTGGCACGCTGGGCCGTGTCACTCCAACAACACGACTTCGAGGTAGAGTATCGGAAGGGCTCCTTAAACTACGTGCCCGACGCCTTGTCCCGCCAGCCTGTAGAGGAGGGGGAGGAGGCCGCCGACGCGACCAATGAGTTAGCAGCTAGCACACCCGGGGAGGCCTGCACTTGGTACGAGAAAAAGAAGCAGGCAGTAAAAGAATCACCGCAGAAACATCCGGATTACCGGATTCAAGGAGGACAATTGTACAGACACTTCCACGAACGCCACTCGATCGACGAAGACACCGACCCGACCGCTTGGAAGTTCTGTGTACCGAAACCACAGCGAGAACAGACGCTACAGGAATGCCATGACGCCGACACAGCCGGACATCTAGGGATCACAAAGACGATCGGACGACTGATGCAAAATTATTATTGGCCGGGCATGACAAGAGAGGCGGCCAACTACGTCAGACGATGCACTAACTGCCGACTACACAAGATACAGCAACGGCAAACCGCGGGACTAATGCACCACCATCGCGTAGAAGAACCAGCCACCGTCATAGCAATCGACCTCGTGGGACCACTACCCCGTTCCGTGGAGGGACACGCATGGATCCTCGTGGCGCAAGACGTATTCACAAAATGGGTCATCGCCAAACCCCTCCGACAAGCCACTGCAGTCGCAATCACCAAAAGCATCAAGGAGCACATCCTACTGCAACACGGCTGCCCGAGACGAATCATAACGGACAACGGCCGCCAATTCGAGAGCCGGGAATTTCGAGGGCTACTCGAACGGGCCGGCATTCAACACCGACGAACGCCTCCGTACTCGCCGCAGTGGAATCCAGTGGAGCGAGCCAACCAAACGTTAAAAACTATGGTCGCCCAATACATCGAACGCGATCACCGCCGGTGGGACCAAAAACTACCAGAACTAGTATTCGCAATTAACACAGCGGTACAGGAGAGTACCGGATTCACGCCGGCCAGACTGACTTACGGCCGCGAACTTACCGCCCCGGGAACACTGCGCGCGCAGCACCAGGCCCCGCTACCGGAAGACATCAGAGAGCCCGAAACCACGACGCGCGAACTACAAATAGGCCGAATGCACGAGGAAGCCGCTACCGCAGCCGCGCGCCAACAGGACGTCACATCACGCCAGGAACAATACTACAACCTCCGACGCCGAGACTGGCGCCCCGCACCTGGAGACCAAGTAATGAGACGGGAACACCCGCTATCAAAGGCAGGCGAACACTTCGCGGGAAAACTTGCTCCAAAATACTCCGGCCCGTATACCATCGACCGAGCAATATCACCGGTCGTCTACCGACTGCGAGACCAAAACAACCGCCTGGTAGGAACCGCGCATGTCAAAGATTTGAAGGGTGTCGCGGACCCCTAAAACAAAACACCAGAACGGGTATATATACGGGAAAACCAAGCCGAGATGAACAGACACGAGCAACATGGGCAAGCTGCGGAAGAAATTCGAGAAAGCCGCTCCGCGGGCCAGAGCACCAGGTCACGCACCACCGCCAGGGATAGTGCCACAGGCCCCTCGGTACGTACCGCCCGTCGAAGCCCGACCACGGACCGCTCGTTCCTTCGTTAGTGTCGAGAACCGGGGCCGAGCTCCAGCCAGCATACGGGCGCGAACGGTAACGTCCCGGCAGGAACGGTTGTACAACGCCGCCGCCCAGACAACCGCCGCTCTCGCCTCCGAACTCGAGGAGCTATTTGGGTCGCTATCCGACTTGGAGGACGAGCCGATGCCGCCGGCACAAACCGGCACGAGGCCCGAGGCCGCAGCCGCCACACCAATGTCGCACCTCCCACTGGGCACACCGACCGCACCGGGGTTACCAACGCCCCCACCAACACCGGCGACCACGCCAACGCCCGGAGCCGAGACAGCGACGCCAGGACCACCACCCGGGTACGGGTATTTCACCGGCGAACAACCCTCCACATGCCAGGGACCGCTGGACGGCATACCTTGGGAGCGCATCCGGCCCGGTCAGCGATACCGGCACCGCACGGCTGGACGGACCGTGATTATAAAGCGCCTCCGCAACGGGGAATTCCGCGTCCGACAATAATTGTAAGACAAAGAAATTAAATCACTGAAAAGCATACATAGTGGAATGTCCGGATCTGCCAGGGGGGAGATGTAACATGCCGTAAACAATAACCACCTTCCCCACCACGCACATATTCCCCGGCACCACTCCGTCCCGCACCTACAACCAACTTGTATATAAGACGGCGAAAATCCATCGAGAGCACCAGATCCCGACCAGCGAGCTGAGCTGGTCTTCCGACGGTGACGACGCGCTGAGTCCGCTTCCAACCTCGCGAGTTGAGCGAGAAACCGAACCGTCTCTGATCCTGACGCGTGTTGAGCGTCTACCCGAGAACCGCGAGCTGAGCGGGAGATCCTCTCCGAACCGAGTCACGCGTTGAGTGACGATCCTTTCCGTGGACTATCGCGCGCTGAGCGAAGCCTGCAATCCTCGCCACGTGTTGAGTGGCTC